TTATCGACTCTTTTTGGTTAATTCTGGTTGAATAAACCTGATATTTGTGTAAATTCATTCAGTTTGTGTTTATTTTCATTTTCATGTACAAATTGTATCATTATTTAGTTTTCTATCTAATTTGTAGGTATTTGAGCATTATTGGAGCAAGAGGAATAAAAACTCCAAGATGTGCATTTGATCAATAAGGGAATAAGGCAAAAGAAGAAGTCATTTGAATTTGTATAAATAAAGCAAAAAAAAATTCTGATATGGTGTGCATCGTCGTGCGACGGTGGGGTGAGCATCCATCATGTATGTGTCGTTGAGCGGTGAGGGAGCGATGGGAGTTGGTTATTTTTCCAGTTGCCTCTGCCTTGCTTTTCTTTCATGTCGCCATGCGAGGAATAAAGGTGTCGTCGGGCGAATCTTTTTGTCGCCAAGCGATGGAAGATATTTTTTCCAGCTTCCCTGTGTGGCGCAGGCTAGACCAAGTAATAAAGATGCAGCGCTGGGCGATTCAATTTCATTGTCGGAAGGTGCTTTCAGAATAGATTTTGTATATATTTTCCTTTTCATTTTGTAAGTTTATGGTTTTGGGGGGTGATTTTTGTTCTCCCAACTCCATCAATCTCATTTTTCATTAGCTTAGCTTAGAAAACAACACTAGGGCTTTGCTTATGGATGATTGGAGGTGGATTTCTCATCGACCGACACTAACAAACCGGAAGACTTTTGGTTTATCTCTTCTCCTCTCTATGTATTTCTCTTTTTTTGGGTTTTGTTAGTATTTTTACTTTGAACTCGTGCATATTTATCGCCCATGGCATTGTATAAAACTTTCTTTACAAATCTTTGTCAATTGTTGTCCTGTTTGTTTACTCTGTGTTAGGGATTTTAGTTGTTATAGACATATATTGCTTGGATTCTTATCTAGTATGATTATCTAATAGTGTCTAGATTCTAGAGATATATTTAGTTCTATTATTCACTTTGGGTATCAGAGCTTAATACATATATGTTGTTTGTGTTGTTCGGAGAGATCGTCAATGTGAGTGATACTATTGTCTTCTTTATTGTTAAGGTGGTTGAGAGATCTCTACCAAGATGATATAGTGGTTATCTTAATTTGGGTTAGACATAATCTAGATTGTGAGTGATACGTGTTGACATTTATGAGTCTTGTAGGTTGAGTATAACTGGTCGATAGGTTTATGTTTGTGAGGAGTGGATTATATGCATGCCTGGTAAGTTTCCCCTCTGAAGAATGAATTTAATTTCCCATTAATAGTTTTTACCCTTTCTTTTCAAATAACACATTCAAACCTAAACTCATTAACAAGATATTGTTAAATGAAAATTCAATAGAACTAATCTCAGTGGAGACGATATGATAAAACTATATAAAAACTTGCTTTTTGCAGCTGCTTTACCGCTTCAACAAACCTCACATGTAGAGATTAAGGAATAAGTTATAAGATCTGCATACCCAAGTCTCTGAGGTTCCTTGATGACTCTTCTCAACCTATCTCTTGCAAATAGGTAGTCATCGATAGATTCTTCAACTTCCTCAACATATTTCGCTTCTTCTTCGACTTCATCTGGGATACGCAATTCAGCATCAACATTCTCTACCTCAACAGGAATCTCTCCTTGTTCCAGCTCCTCATCAGATATTTCTGCACTTTGACCAACATCATAAGTTTTCTTTTAAGTCATTTCAACTTCATTGGAAACTAAATCTTGACTGATAATACACCTCTTGGGACCTGGCTCTAGGCACCATAGCATATAAGATTTGACTCCTTTAGGGTATCCCATGAACAGGCATTTCAGAGCTCTAAGTTTGAACCTATCTTACCTAATATGAGCATAGGCTAAGCAGCCAAATACCCTCAGTTTGCCGATATCTGGTGGATATCCCGACCAAAATTCTTCAGGTGTATTCATATCTAATACAGTAGAAGGACATCTATTTATCAAATATGTTGTTGTCGAAATAGCCTCAACCCAAAACACCTTCTTTAACCCAACACTAGTCAATGCATCTAACTCTCTCCAAAATAATTTGATGAAACCTTTTAGCCAAACCATTTTGTTGTGGAGTACCTACATTAGTTATGTGTTGCAATACCAAAGGCAACACGAAAACTATCAAAATCCTCACTGAAAAATTCAAGGACATTGTCGATTCTCAACCTCTTGACCTTTCTGCCAGTTTGATTTTCGACCAGAGTCTTCCAACTTTTGAATCTCTCAAAAGTTTCATCCTTAGTATTCTGGATGAATACCCACAACATTTTGGAATAATCATCAACTATGGATAGAAAATACCTTTCTCTTGAATATGATGGACACCTTACAAGATCCCAAATATCAGCATGGATGTAATCAAGGGATCCATGTGTTCTTTGTTTGCCCTTGTTGAACTTCACTCTGCAAGATTTTCCAAGTACACATGGGTCACAAAAGTTTATTTTTTTGACTTTGTCTCCACCAAGAAATTTTTATCCCCAATTCGACCAAACCCCTTTCACTGACATGGCCCAATCTCTTGTGCCACATTTCTTTCTTCAACAAAGGTTTCATGGATGCAACATTTGTTGAACCACTTACAACTTCGGCCTAAAGGGTATATAAGCATTGTTTCTTCATGCCTCTCAAGACTTCCTTCGACCCCTTCATGACTCTTAGGATACTTTTCTTTCCTTGGAAAACTTATCCTTTCTTTTAGAATTCACCAAGATAAATCAAATTTATCTTTAAATCATGTACATACCTGACTTCAGTCAACAACTTTATTGACTCATCATGAAGCTTGAATCTCACAGATCCAACACCTACAATCTTTCAAGCTTTATTATTTCTCAGCAATACATATCCACCATCTTGATCGCATAGTTCCTCAAACAAGTATTTGTTTGGAATCACGTGTCAAGTGCAACTTGAATCTATAATCCAATCCTTACTCGAGTTACTGCTTGAAACCATAATAACATCATATGAGTCGAAATCATCTTGAACAATGGATGCATTTCCATTATCCTTACCTCTATGATCTTTCAGGCATTCAAGGCACACCTTTCTTGTGTGATCCTCCTTCTTACAATGATACCATCGAATACCATATGCCTCGCCACTATAAGACTTACACTAGTGCAGAAATGACTTTTTACATCGGGTAAAATTGACTTTTTACATCGGTTTTGGATCCGATGTAAAGTCAGGTGATATAGTAAATCAGGGACTTTTTACATCGGTTCTGGGACCGATGTAAAAAGTCCCTTTTTTACATCGGTTATAATATCAGAACCGATGTAATAACCTGTTATTATGCACATTTTTTAAAAAATTGATCCAGTTTTTTACATTGGTTGGAAGTAATACCCGATGTAAAAAGTACCCTTTTTACATCGGTTATAATATATGAACCGATGTAAAAAACAATTATTATGCACATTTTTTTAAAAAATTGATCCAGTTTTTTACATCGGTTGGAAGTAATACCCGATGTAAAAAGTCCCCAGTGACGCGACTTTTTACATCGGGTATTACTTCCAACCGATGTAAAAAGTCCCTTATTGAAAGTTTTTACATCAGTTTTACTAATAACCGATGTAAAATGTATGAAATTTTTTTGGAATAGATTATTTATTTTCTGGGTTTCCCTATACAAATATAATTTGTACCCATTTTTTCATATTTTTCCAATATCAAACAGACTATATTTATGTCGCTATATAGATTTCATAGCTTTCCAACATCACATTTAGGACGATGTTTTCATATTTTTCACAACAAACTTACAAATTGAACAAACTTACAATTACAAACTTGTATTGCAAACTTGTATTGTATTACAACATACAAACTTACAATTACAAATTCTTAACAAAATATAAAACAATATTCAACTATTTATAAGTCTTTTTCAAAACTTACAATTACATAATATTCACAAAATATACATATACTAAAATATTCAACTATTTCTAAGTTTCCAAACTTGAATTACCAATATAAAATCTTCGGTAGACAACACCAAAATCATATTGCCTGACAATAAATAATAACAATTAACATCAGCAAAAAAATCAAGAAACTCAACACATGAGCAAAAACCACATGTATATTGTGCAAAAACCACAACTTATACAATTCTATAAAACTCACCAGCTAAACTTAAGTTCCATGTAAGTCAAAGAAACATTTTGCCCAACGAAGTCGCAAATCATACAAATCATCTGGTGTTAATTCTGTTGGGTCATCAAATACCTATAATACATAAATATAACAATATAGAGTTTTTTTTAAAAATTCATATTAAGTCGAAAAACAAAAAGTAAAGAACAAAGTAAAGTTATTTTTAGTACCTGCATCCAATTCTCGGTTATATTAGCAGAGACAATATCCAACATATTTTTCATCACATAGTATCCACAATCATTAGAGTTATGTTGTTGCCTTGTCTACAATTGAATGACATAATTAGTGAATATTTATCGTATATATTTAACTATAGAATTATAATTTACATCACTTACATTGGGATGAAGCCATGTAGCCTTTTTTCTATTTCCATTTGCCATTTGATGAATCCCAAAAGAACTAATACAGAAAGATATAAACATCACATAACTAAATATACTCGCCAATGAAAAATCACATAACTATTAGTTGTCAATGAAAGTCATATGAAAGATAAACTTACTTTGTAATAATTTTCTTCGTGTTCTGGTCAATTTCCCGATGAAGTGAACAAAATACGACAACTAAATTGTCTCTTGGACACATGACTATTAATTGCCAATGTCTCCTGTACGTGTGTGTGGAAACAGAAAAGTCGCATAAAATATATATGTTATCAAAATCAAAATTAAAACTATATGCTGTGCATTAAGCCATTACATCAATATAAATTAGAAAAGATACTGTGCAAGTTTGAACGGATGTGGAGAAAATGGCTGAAAATAGAGGTATGAATTTCTGTCATGTCTTGTGCCATTAAATGGGAGCTTCGTCTATGCATAATATGTTACCTTGAACACTGGTCCAAAACCCCCTTCGCCAATCTTATTCGCAGGATCAAAGTCATTAGTAGCTGCTCTAATTTGTCTCAAGCTGAAATAACCTGTTTTAAGATCAAGAAGGTCTGCAACATGGAAGATTTGTAAGTAAAAATCCCCATTCAGATTTTACAAAATTGGTGAGAAAAGAATACCAAATTATGTATCTTAAGCTCACGTTCTTTTGGACTCAAATCTCACCTTTGTCTCTTAGATCTTTTACACAAAGGAAACCCATCTTCCAAAGGGCAAAGACTATGAGTACGACAAGCACACATGACGCAGCCACAATTCCAATAATAACTCCAGTGGACATTCCTTCTGAATGATTTTTAAAGTCTACAACAAAATTGAAATGCTTATAGAACACGGCGTAGCATGGTAGTTGAAAGAAAGATTGTAGAAAAAAAGACTTACTTGGTGTTACTGTGATAGCTGATATAAGAGGTCCATATACACCTCTGTCAGGAATGGCCGTGGTTCCTTTCCCTGCCCAATATAACTGAATTTCCAACGTGTTGTCGTTGACTTCAACATCGAATTCCTTAGTGATTCCCTTTCCAACTCCACCAGCTTCTTCCACAATGTTAAAATCTTTCAAATATTTAAAACCCTGCGAAGAAGTAGCATTTTAAATTCATACCTTCGGTTTAGGACGCACGGTTTCTTCAAATACAAGATACAACCGAATACATGTACATTTTTTCTTATGTTTCAATCAAAATAATGTGACGAAATTGTTTTGTTTCAGTACTCACTTGAATTGAAACATCAAATATGCGCCTTCCGAGACTTTTAAAAGTCTGGTCATCAGAAAACATTATCTCAGCAAAGTGGAGCTTCACTTTGTAACTTCCCTGCTGCATACAAAGGCCATAGTAACTAAGTGACAGAGGGGAAAGCCGAGCAGTGTTATAGTAATCCGGGCCATTAATATTCAAAGAATATGTATTTGATGCTTTATAATCTGCATGAACATTTCCCATATACACTCCTGTGCTGCTATAAGCCCATTGTCCTGCATTTCTTAGAACAAAATTTGAAATTCCATTTTCCTGCAGGTCACCTACATAGTGATTTCCATCAAAATCTTCTTCTGGTCCTCCACAATTTATGAACAATGAATCATCTGCAAAGACAGAATTAAATCTAATCACAATTTACTCGTATGGAACTTGTTGGATCTAGTAAATGAGCTCAACACTCACATTGAGGTTTTCCTGCGCAAGGAAGGTTCCTCTTCAGACAAAACGTTCTACAAAAAGACTATAGTTAGTTTCAATTGATTATTCAATTCAATGGTGATTGATATCCAAGTTAGAAAATAATAAAAGAACTTACGAAGGTGAAGTGACCGCTGAAGACGAATAGCTCGAAGCCAAGTTCCTTTTCCGAAACAATAAGTTGTTAGCATAATAACATTGACACAAATGAAATTCTTATGTATTTCTAGACAAAGGGAACCTTACAGATTCAGATGCTGGCAGCTAGTTGCAGAAGACTTTGTAAAATTGTTGTAAGATAAATCTCTGAAAGAAAGCATATAGATAGGTTGAATTTAATTCTTCATTGCTCAATTACGGCTTGAGATTAATAACAATAAAAGGATTTAAATTATGCAATTGGAGAAAGCATGATGGTAAATGAAATAGACTAACATGTTAATTTTGAAGTTCAGTATCCAATCTTGAATCACTCCACTCAAAGAATTATTAGTCATAAACCTACATCCAAACAGCAAGGTTAAACCAATAACGAAAAAGCATATAGTTTTATAGATATAAAAAATATAGATATGTATTATTTTAGTTAATCTTATGGTCAGTAAATGAATGTTCACTTACGGTATCGGTCGAAGGGAATCCGGCAAGACGGAAGGGCGGACCGGCAAAGAGCAGGCCAAGCAATGGACGGTGCGACGGGAGGGCGGATCGGGCAAGGCAGAGGGCGTACGCACGTGAGGGTCGGCGGATGAACGTCGCGCGAAAAAGGTCGAAAATGGGTCGGCGGCGAACGTGACCAGTAGCGGCGAATCGTCGGCGAAGAACGGGTCGTGACAGTCGGCGGAAGCGGGTCGTGACAGTAGGAAATGGGTCGGCGAAAATGGGAGGGATGAAGCGGCGGTCGGTGAAAATGGGTCTGAAAATGGAAAATGAACAGTTTTTTGGAATAAAATAAAATTCTGTTTATAAGTTTTTACATCGGTGGAATATTTGACCGATATAAGGGGACGTCTTTTACATCGGTGGAAACTTCCACCGAAATAATAGGTCTTTTTTTTTTTAAATAATGACTAGGCTTTTACATCGGTGGAAACTTCCACCGATTTAATATGTTTTTTTTTTTTTTTTTTAAATAATTCTTAGGCTTTTACATCGGTGGGAACTTCCACCGATTTAATAGGTTTTTTTTTTTTTTAAATTATTCTTAGGCTTTTACATCGGTGGAATATTTCACCGATTTAATATGTTTTTTTTTTTTTTTTTCCACGTTTTTATTAATTTTCAATATAATTTATATATTAATTCAAAGAATCATTTTTTACATCGGTTTGTCTTTAAACCGATGTAATAGCTTTCTTATATTTTTTTTAACTTTTTTGTCACCTTGTTTCTTATTTACAAAAATGCCACCGTGTTTTTTTTCTGGAAATCTTTTACATCGGTGGATGAGATTACCCGATGTAATAGGTGACGAAAAAAATTTTTTCCCTTATTTTTTATATCATTGGAAATAAATACCTGATGTAAAAAGTTTGTTAACTGTATTTTTTACATCACCTATTTTGATACCCGATGTAAAAACCTTTTCTCAAATGTCTTTTTTTTAGTAGTGTTATGTTGACTTTTTCCTTTCTTCTTGTCGAACTTACCATCATTTTTCAAGAATTTTCCTTTAACGGACAAACCTTCACCAACCTTCAAAGGTTTATGCTTCTTTCGTTCATTCAAGTCCTTAGAATACCAGACTGATTAAACTTCTTCAAAGGTCAGGGACTCTCTTCCATACAAGAGGGTTTCTTTGAAGTGAGCATATGTTCTGGGTAAAGCGTAAAACAACAACAACACTAGATCTTCATCACCGATCTTCACATCAATATTTTCAAGATCAAGAATCAAATTGTTGAACATATCCAACTGTTCAACCAATAATTTTTCTTCAATCTTTTTGAATGAATAGAAATCTTGTTTCAGGTAAAGTCAGTTTACCAGCAATTTAGTTATGTACAAACTTTCAAGTTTTACCCATAACCCTGATGTCGTCGTCTTCTTTAATACATGTCAAAGAACCTTATCACCAAAGCTAAATAAGATTGTGTTGTGGGCTTTCTCTATCATGGTCGTCTTTTCTTTTTTTTGTTAATTCAACATCCATGGCTGCCGCTCCCTTTAACGTTTCCAAACAACCCTGCTGAACCAGTAGTTATTTCATCTTCAAGTGCCACAGACTAAAATTGTTCACTCCAGTGAAATTTTCAATCTCATAATTTATTGAAGACATCTTCTCCACGCTCACCGCACAATTTTTTATGAAACTAGATGTCTTTGAAACAGGCAGACTAGCCCCGAGATCGCGTAGAGATCACAAGGCACTCACAATTCTTCAGAACTTCTTCTATTGAGCGTGATACTTTAATTTAGTATGTATAGATATTCTTATCATATCTTCTCTGTGCAAATTGTTCGCCAACTTCTATGCTTTTTTATCAGAACTTCTTTGCATATATAAATAATTTATTAGAGAGCATAATTGTTCTTTATACATATCATGTATTTGTTATCATCAAAACTATTAATAAGATGTAGAACCAAACTATGTTCTAACAATCTCCCCCTTTTTGATGATGACAAAAACTTGTATATTTTGATGAACAAGTAAGAACTTAAATCATTAGCGTCTCCCCCTGAGTTGAATACTCAGATAAAGAAAAAATTGATACTTCCATGAATATGTTTGATCCGAGATTTTGCGTCTCCCCCTTAGTAAGTCCATGTGGCAGAAGTTACTTCCCAGAGACATTTTTCCTGTTTGCTTTTCAAAAAGTGAAACAGAGGTTATGTTATCAAAAAATGTTTGAGACTTAGTTTCGGCACTATTATATTCAAAATATCTTACGTTCTCCCCCTTTTTGTCATTAATCAAAAAGCAATAAAAACACGTAAAGAGAACATAAAGGTTATGCATTCAACAACAGTGATTAATACAAACAGAAGCACACAAACCAAATTTTAAACATAAGGCATAGCAGAAACAAGCAAAAGACTAGATCTAAGGTTGTGAAGGAGGTGGAAGTCGTGTGAACAATGCTTATAGGAGACTTTTGATATGATTTTTTGATTCTTCTTGCTTGTCTAGAATCCCTTAATATCTTTGATGGTTTCATCCTGCTTATCCATCCTTTTCCTAACAGCTTCATTCTCTTTCTTCAACTCATCCAGAGTTTTCAACACTAGAGAAGGTGGAGTTGTTTCAACAGTAGAAGCCATATTCTCAAAAGTTACTACAACAAATTATTTCTCTGGAGACTCTTCAACTGACTTGCCTTTGTCTTAAAAAATGACCAGAGGTTGAGGTTGAGGGTCAATAGATGGTTCCTGAAATTTTGATTCCTGTTGAGCTTCCCAGGGAGTGTTGTCTAGATAACGAAGGGGTTTCCTTACCCAAAGACGTAGAACTTAATCTTTGAAGATATTTAGATGATCGCAGAAGTTCTATTGAGTGATTTCATAACTAAGTTCATTCATCTTTTGAGATTCAGAATTAAACCATTTTCTGAACTGAGTCCAGAGAAAATCAGAAGCAGCTGGATTAAGGTTATCCAGGAAAGATTGCTTTAGAGAGTTAACTCATTCCTGTATTTCTGTCTCAAAAATCAACAGAGATTTACCAAAATCTGATTTGGATGGTGTTGTACCCCAAAATTTTCCCTCTCATTTATCAAAAATGTTCTCACAAAGATCTCTTTTGACCTAGAAAATGGTCAATTGGTTTGAAGCATGATTTAGAGAGTTCAATTGCATCATTTTTACCTAATGGCATGACCTAAAATGTTGCTCAAGGTGAATTGGATAGATAGTGAATTTTCAGTCAACTAATCAAAAGTCAACTGTACACTGAAAAGTTAAACTTTGACTTTTTGGTCAAAATTCAATGTCAAAGATCACAATTCATCAAAACATGTCAAAATATGAAACTTATTCATCAAGAAATAAAAAAATCAAGATTTCATTTTGAAAAGTCAATGTTTTCTAACTTAGAAATTTTTCTAAGTGTTTAAACTTTATGTTTTATTCATAACTTTGGGCCAATTTTTCACCATGATGCAAGAGGATTCAGAAGAAACTTTCAAAATGAAAGTTGTAGATCTCCATGATATCTACAACATTTATTGACACAACTTCTTCTAAAAGTTCTTGGATCTCAAGTTATTAATTCATAAAGTCATGGTCTTGAAGTTGAATACTTAGTGAAATTTTGCCTTAGTTTTGGTCAGGATTTTGACCAAACTTCATGGCACTTTTTCTTATAGTTCCAAGGGGAATTTTCAAAAGTGATTCAAAGAGGGGTTGCATAGAATATTACAAGCTTTCTAAAATGTCAACGAACTCCTTGAGATCATTTTTGATCAAGGAGAATCGAAAGTCAGAAGTTGAGGTTTCAAGGTTTTTTACAAGGCAAGTTTTGTGATGAACAAGATTCAAATTTCAAACCTATGCTGCATAATCTCTACTTTACAAGCCTCAAACTTGTTATGCACTCCATAATTAATTACTTTCACATCTGTTAGAAGTCTCAATTCAAGCACTCAATGCAAAGCCATGTTTTATATCCATTTTAGGAAGAAAGTGCACAATGCCATTTTGATAAAGTAGCTTTTTGCACAAAACTTGTTCTTGAGCCTTGTAATTGTTTTCTTCTTATCATACATGTCCTATAACTCAAGAGAAGTTTGTCTAAACACTTACAATCACTCAGCCCATGCTTGTACTTCCTCTTGGAACCATACTTCCCACTTTTCTTCAAAATCAAGTAACATAGCAATCAACATATATCTTGTACTTCTGACCCTCTAAAGCACAAAAAACCTTCTCATTACTTATGTACAAGTCATTTGCCACAAATCCCATGCATGCTTGAGCCCTGAAAACACCAAAAAAATCAGATTTTCATCTCACAACTCCATTGTTACATATTCTGGCCAAAAATCCCAAAGACAAAAAACTACTCGTGCGTTTCTTGGCCTCTTGCTTCCAAAAGCTTCCAAACATCATACACAAACAATCCCATACCCTGTTACAGTTCTGTAACACATCCATCACCATCCTCCATTTTCAAAAATAGGGGTCTGCATCTTGACTTCTCCAGACCAGTTCAAGTACTTACAACTCAAAGTAACCATTGGAATAGCTTCCTAGGGACTCAAGGAAGCTAACTTGATCATTACATCAACTTGAATCAAGCTCATTTGTAGAACACGATTTCATGTCTTTAGATTTCATTTATATTGCTTAAGTAGTTAGAATTTTGAATCTGAACATCCTGGAAAAATTAGGTCAGAATTTGGTACCATTCAAAATTCATGTTCATTCTTGAGAATTAGTTTAAGTTGTTTACATTTTTGGAATCGTGGTAAAATTTTACACAAGTTTCATGTTTAAATTTTTGCAAATGGATGAGAAATGAACAAGTTACAGGTCATTTGGCTGGAGGTTGAAGATG